CAGATGATTTCATGTTTGGAAATTGGCAGCCCAAGCTGTGCATTTAACAGAATGTAGAGGCCTGTGAAGCACTTTATCTGGAATTTGTGATCCCAGAACACATTATTTCTTGAGTTTACATGTTCAGAAAGAAGGGAATGTGATTCATCCGAAAACCTGACATTGGAAATGGATGACATTTGGAGCATATTTTGGAACGACCATAACTCTATCAATATAAGACTATGATTATTGAAACTTTGCCAGAGGATCCCACATTGAATGAAGTCCTTGTGTGCCAAATTTCAGAGCAATTAACCACCATTTAAGAAAAATATTCGAAAAATGGAGGGTTGCATTTTTTTTGGGTCACCCTGTATCTTTTATTGACTCTCTGATGTCATTGCAATGACATATTAGTCACTACAAACTACAATATACAAAATTAAACTAAGACTAAACTAACTACTTCATAGGAAATATACAAAGTTGTAAAATACAATTACAGCATCACGAAATGTAAAATACAAAAATATGAGATAGTTGTAAAATACAACATGACAGAATTTAAAACATCAGTGTGATGTATCATTGTTACAATATTAATCCAGTTTTTTGAATGAATGATAAATGAACTTTGCTAGATGTAAAATTACATAAGAATTTTTATGAGACAAAAGCTTTTTGAAAATAAAGTCAGGACTTCCTACAAAATTAAATTGCATAAGGGTCACAGGGTGTCAAACAAAAGTTTTCTTTCTGTTGTATTTTTCTTACACACCATGATAAAGTGTTGTTCATCTTCTAAAATACCACACATATTACATAAACGTTCATCCAAAGGTCTTGGCTAAGGCTTCAAATGATGACCAATTTCTATATGTAATTTGTGTGAACTAAGCCTAAATCTACTATTTTGTATATTTAAATAACCCTCTCTTTCAAAGACATTTTTGAATGTTATGTAAGTTCTTAAAACAGGATATTTGAAAATATCTTTCTGCCACTGAGACTTATAATTCTGATACAGTTTTTTTGTTATCATCTTGATAAAAATATAATCATCATCGATCTTTTGAGTTTCCCAATATGAGAATAAATCACATTTTTTCAAAATATCAGTGATTTTGTTTGACCAAGTGCCTTTTATGAAGAATGTTTCCATGTGATAGATGAATTAAACGGAGCCAATATTTAATTAACTTAATTTCAAAACGTAACGGCCTAATTCTCCATAGACTGCTGGTGTTGCTGTTGATTTTTTAACACCTAATAAACTTTTAAGAAAAGATAAATGCATTGTCTCAATTGTCTCAAGATGTTTTTCATTAATCCACACCTGTGAAGCATAAGTTAGGATAGGTTCAACTAAAGAGTCATACTACCTTTATAATAAGAGAAAAGTCCGAAAGCTTTTTGTCAGAATATTTACCGGAAGTGTTTATATTTCCATTTATCCTTCAAACTGTGACATTTATGCTTATAACTCGACATGTATATGATTCTTACATACAACTACGATCAAAAATGTTACTAACATACCAAATGAAAGGGGATTTCCTGGTCAAACTTGCAAAAGTTGGTCCAAACTCACACTTGATCCCTCCACTCCCTCCAATACGCATGCGCAGCGATGTTAAAAATAAGGCCGTGACTGGAGAGCCTAAATTTTAAGGTTCTTAAAGGCGCAATACCGGAAATCGGGAATAATTCCTTAGAAAAACTTCAAAATAAATCGTTGGTGCCTCAAACCTGCCCCTAAGAATGGCTATGATGTGAACTTACTTTTGTCAAAATACCGGAGCCTGAAAATTGAAGCTGAGCTAAACGGTTTTCGTTTGTCGTAAAATTGACCTCATTTAACTGCGCCATCTGGTGAATGAATCATTGTTTCGTGTCATATGATTCGTTGTTTTGTGTCACGCGACATACCTTTAGACCTTTTTCCACCTATCGTAAGTTAATCGAATTAAAATGAAATTTTTCGATCCAAGAAAAAGATTTGCACAAAAATTATTAACTCCGCTTGACATAATCTTTGTTACTCTATCATCTTCTTGATGAGGCACATCGGAACTTGGGATTAATAGCCATTCAACCAAGCCACAAAAAGTATGTATATTAGTTGTTCAACATGTTCAATTGTGTTAATATCTCCCGGAACTTAGCCTTTAATAGCAGTTCGACTAAAGAGTCTTAAATTTTATGCATGTACAAGCCACTCTAGTATATTTAAATGGTAAAGAGATAACATTTTATGAAACACCAGATTTTGGAAAACTGTTTGTTTTTACAGTATAATGGTAAGGATATTTCATGTGCAACTTGGCTTAGAGCATTTAAGTGCAAAGTAGATACCAAACTCTTAATTATTCACTGGAAAACATTACACAACATATATCCATGTTATGAGATTTTAAATGGTTTTAGAATTAAAGGTAGTTCTTTTTGTGAAAATTGTAATGTAATTGACAATGTTAAACATATTTTTATGAGTGTACAAAAATAAGGGATATATGCAGGCCTGTCAACTGTCCCGCAATTTGCGTATTTGTCACGCATTTGCTGAAGAAAATGTCACCCAAATACGCATTTTACCTGGTAATTGTCAAGCAAAAATATATCTGTAGAAAAATTTCGTACCTTTTTTGATAACATCACTTTTGAACAAATTATAGGAATAAATAAGTATAAGAATTGAAAAAGAAGTTTTAATAGCCAGGAGGGCAATACAAATTTTCAGTAGAGACAAAACTTGAAGTATACATGCATATTTTGAAACAATGTAACTGGGCCTATGTATAATGTATAATTATATTAATTATATATGTTTTATTATTGAAATATAGTTTTTACAAAAAAACACACTCTAGTGTCGTGGTTATGGCGTTCGCCTAGTACTACCACGGCACAGGTTCGATTCCAGTTTGGTACAATTTTTTTCATTATGAACAACAAACTGGAAGATTGTTCTCTGAGGTCCGGAAATTATGTACACATTTTTTTAAAATTCATGGGCTCTCTCCAACGCTCAACCATCCATGTTGAGTGAAATTAAACTTGTATTGGCTTTACTATATTCACAAAATTACAGAATACGGGAATCCCATTTGAAGGTGGCAAAAAGTATGAAGGAGACCTGGGGATGAAGAAAAGGATCTTGTTATATTCTAGATACAGCACATCATGATGCAGTTTATCGGGTATGTAGGGACATCAGCCCGGGACATCAGAGAATACAGTTTCTAAATCTATTGCCCATTAGATTCAAATGCCGATTTTTGGATTTTCAAATGACAAGAGGCACAAAATATTTTTTCAATTTTTTGCAAAAACTTCCCCCTCAAAAGTCCTTCATTTGTATCAACGTTTTTTAGGCTAGCCTCCATTTGGGCATCAATAAATGTGAGCTCAACACCATTCTCCAAAGGGCCTATTCTATACATCAAAATCTTTACTGATTAGTAAAATTGAACAAGTATATATGACTGCTCCAAGTAGCAGCACCATGAAGGTTACTGAACCTTTAAAAAGCCAAATTTAGACTGAGGATTGAAAAGGTTCTAAGAACTTTTATTTTTTTTGGTAGACCGGAAGTAAATTTACGAGTCGAGTAAAAAGTGATAATGTTGTTGTAATGAAGTTGGGAAGTCAAAACAGTTCTTATAGGAAGTCAAAGTAAGCATTCGAAGATCATTTAGAAGCATTTTAAAATCAAATCTACGGCAAAATTGAAATGACTAAAATCTTTGAATATTTTCTTCTTCGTTTTCTTCGTGGACCTCAGAGAAGACACTTCTCAGGTTTAATGATGTGAGTTTATCGATCAAAAAATATATTTTTATGAATATCTCCCGTATCTGCATAGTATGTTAATTTGTGTTGTTTGTTAAAATTACAAAATAGGTTGGGTAAAAATATGTCAAAGTCGTTTGATCTCGCCCCAGAAGCAATATTTTGTCATTTCCGTCGCTTAGAATTCCTTTAAGGGTGGCTCTCTAGCAAAATTGGCAATCAAAATGCTAAAGAGCCTTAGAAGTTAAGGCTACCTAGTCGAAATGCTAAAGAACCTTAACATTTAAGGCCCTTTAGCCAAATTGGTTACCAAAATGCTAAAGAGCCTTAACATTTTAGACTCTCCAGCCACAGCCTTATTTTTTTTAGTTTTTTTTGCGTGACAGAAAATGTCACGCAAATACGCATTTTACCTGGTAATTGTCACGCCAAAATATTTCTGTAGAAATTTTTTCGAAATATGTTTACGATACGGTAAAAATACGAACGTCGGAAAAAACCGAACGCAATTTGTTCGGATTTGTCACGCGAATCCCGTATATGTCACGCATGTTCATTCGAAATTTTCGTACCTAAAATTTGGACAAAAGTGTTCATATTTGGACTTAGGTGTCCAACATTTTGAAGTCACTCATATTAGGTGGTCCCAAGTTGACAGCCCTGCTGCTACTTAGACTGTCACAGTCTAAGATGTCACCAGGTAGAGTGTTCCATTTAGCTATTGTCCTAGGGAAATAGCTAAATTTGTATGCATCCGTTCTAGTTGATGGTTGTATGAACTTAGAAGGATGATACAACCTAGTGTTGGTATTGATCTGTTGGCGGAAGTATGGAGGCACGTCGATGGCTGCTAGGTTCTGCTTTCCTTTGTAGAAAAGGAAAACTCTAGCAGCCTCTCGACGCTCCTTCAGTGGCTCCCACTGTAGGTCTTGAAGAGCTTTGGTGACGCAGCCTGGTTCCCTTGAGTGACATTTGGTTACAAACCTGGCTGCTCTTCTCTGTACCTGTTCCAACATATCAATAGTGAAATTCGTAAAGAACATCAGCGCTACATCAACGATCTGCTTGACATTGATGAAAGCGAAATCATAAATGAGAATGACAGTGACAGTGACAGTGACTTCTGTACCGAAGAAAAAGTAAAGATGTGTCAGTAATAAGTGACTAAAAGTAGACTACAGATAGATCAATATAGTACAAGTCAGTGAAATCTAATTAATACTTACATACTTACACGTTCACTGCATTAAACAGGATAAACAAGCAAAAATTAAGAAAGAATTGCTCTTCCGGTTTCTCACAGCCTTTCGTCCAGTGCCATCCGTACCTCCCGTGAGCAGAGGGGGAGAAACACCAGGGTTCAAAGATGACATACGCTTATAATGTAAATCTGTATTGAGATGACATCGTCGCTGATTGGTCAAAAGTCGACAAACAAATGACGTCATCAATGGCGGTTTCAAAATTTTCGAAATACGCTTCGAATAATATTATGTTCATTTCTGGCGTGTTAACCAATATCATAGCTTCTCATTTCACATCAAGATAAAGAAAGGTGTACGGAATATGCCTTTGTCAATTAAAACATCACATCGAAGTGTAATATTTGATTATTAGCCGATGAAAATTCGAACGAACGAAGGTGGTAAGCAAGAGAGGTAATTATGTCTGTCATCTTTAAACTCTGGGGCTTTCCCTCCTCTTTCCCGTGAGTGAAGGTACGCAACGAACGAAATGAATTTTGAGAATGGGTTTCACCATAGGCCCCGGGAACATGTATAAAATAGCGAGTCGACATCTGTATTACTACTTCTTAAACGAGTGTATGGACTTTCATGAAATCTGACATCATATACTTCTGATTGGTAAGTAAAGTGAAATACGAGGGTTGATCATAAAGTTCTCATAATATCTCTCTATCTTTTTTATTTTTCAATATTTTCCTATGAAATCTTCACAGAATGTGCAGCATAGAATGTTTTATTAATCCAGCAACAAATATTTAGAATAACAGAAACATTAAATAAGAAATGGTTGCCATAGTAACTTGAAATCAAGGCACCCGGGGCAAATAAAAACAAGCTAGAATAGCCCACATTAACCATGTTTAAATACACAATACGCTGTCAAATAAGCTATCAAACACATTAAATTGTCAAATAATATGTGCTCTTGACTGTTGTGAACTATTATAATGGTCATGTGAATTGTGTGATCTCATAATGGATGATTGTTATGCTTCATGAGAAGTGACTGCTAGACCCCATGACTGTTTTGTCAAATATCCTGTGGAAAATTGATTTTGCCCTTTTAGATCGTTTTTAACATGTACAGACCACACACAGGGTGTAATTTTGCTGATATCTGAGCAATATATTTGTTTTAGATCATGTTTAGTCTGACCAAAGGATCTTACAAACTTAACATTACATTTTATCAGTATGAATTTTATGGGGTCAACCCAGTTGTCCGAAACCCAGTTGTCCGAAACCCAGTTGTCCGAAACCCAGTTGTCCGAAACCCAGTTGTCCGAAACCCAGTTCTCCGAAACACAGTTGTCCGAAACCCAGTTCTCCGAAACCCAGTTGTCCGAAACCCAGTTCTCCGAAAATTAAAAAATTAAATGTCTTAGCGGTAACGAATCTTGTCGCAACTTCGCGAATCAGGACAGCATAACATTGGTATCACGTTGACATCGGTTAGCCCGGTCAATAATGGGTCCGAAAGTTCACGATCATATATATTCTTACTAGATTCTCGGCACATAGACTTATATGGACATTCTACAAATTTTGAACCGCATTGTCCAGCACGAATCGCGCTCCTTCTTGGTGAAAATTCAAGACTGCCGCCAACATTTTAGACAATTATCACAGTCGAAGAGAATATTCTGGCGAAAGGAATATCTATCTCATTCGAATAACGTATGGACGTCCGTGACAATTATATATATTCATTTGATAATTTTTTCATTCATTCATTTTGGTTGTTCAGTACCACCCATTGTTAAGATTTCGTCCAAATTTTCGATAAATCAATAAAATATGCTCATTTCGTATAACTTATATATGTGGCATATATACATATCAGATGTCTATCCTTTTTTCATCATAATATAAGAGGTCTGTATGTTTTAGTAGAAACGTATTCCTTTCCAAACATTTAGATTTAAGAATTTCTCCCATTGGTGATATTGTTCAAAATCAAAACTGTGTTTTTGCGATATATTGAACTGTTGAAGTAAGTGTGTAATAGTTTGTAGTAGAGCCAAGATTTGATCTGTATCATGTACGTACCCTGCATAAAAAAATTCGTTTTTAGTGTGCCATAGATGTCAACCATTAACTATTGCAGAATCATTGAAAAAGTTTTGTGAAAAATTAGGATAATGTTTCAAAATTATACACCGGACAATAAATAACTATACTCAATGCAGACAGGGAGTTTTAATTGCCCAAAAGCTGAGTATCAAAATGCATTTGTATCTCTTTAGTATCTTGCATGACTCGTTCATATGAATTCTTTATTTCTACCTCGTTCCCAATACATTCTGAGACAGTTCAACCTTTGCCCCACGCCGCCACGCGGTCCTAACTTCGACTGTTAATTTGAATTTTTGACCTACCGGATATTTGAAAATCAATTACGAGTCTCATACTGCACCGTTTTTCTTCAAACTTGTTCCATTCAAAGCATGACAAAAATCTCTTTCTGATGGTACGTTATTATTTTAAACAGAGTTCCTACTTCCAGCGTAATTTTGGTCCCCAGCTGTAAGAAGGCCTTCTAACAGCTGGGGAGTGGGGACCAAAATGCTGCTAGAACGAGAGACTCTTTACAATAAAGTAATGCACTGACAGAAGTGCAATTTTGTTTTGCTTTTAATGGTGTAGGGGAACATGGGGCAAAACGGCCCTCTGGGGCAAAGTGGCCCATCGAAATATCTTTTGAACTATAAAAAGATGGTTCTTCAAAAGTCACAAAATCGAATTTTGAAATATCTGCCACCTTCTCGACCGTCCATTTTTAACCAAGCAGCGTCTCGCTTTACGTAAGAGGTAATTCTACTTTTCACCCTCTTTTTGGAAATTACCCCTCTCACGAAAATCCTTAAAAAATCCGGCAACAATAGAATATCGTTTTGATTTAACATTTTACATAGAGTGTGCACATTCATTCTTTATTTGTAAAAATTTCGAGCTTCAAATATTAGGCAAATTAAAATGACGTCTATTTGAAAATTCACATGTCTTTGGAGCAAAACGGCCCACACATGTTATAACATACAAAAATCTTATTGTGCAAGAACAATTGGTTTTCAAATGTAACAATTTTAACATCTGGCTTGTGCCTTATTTCCTTCCGACACATATCGAATGACTAGAATTATGGTAGGGGTTAAGAATACTTTATCTGTCAAAGGTTTGAACGTCTGAGATAAGATGTTTGTGGACGAGTCTTGTAATTGATTAATTTTGGTTTCAAAACCCATGTAACAGAGGATGGGCCGTTTTGCCCCACCCATGGGCCGTTTTGCCCCACTCTCGACAATATTTTTGACCATTGAAAAATCACAGAAGATAGTCCTAGGAAAGTATAAAACACTCGAAAAATGTAAACCACAAACCATTAATAAAGTGGAACATCAAAGTGCGCGATGATTGACAGATACGAAAATACCCCGTACAGAACAACTTAAAATTAAATTTTTTGGGCCGCTTTGCCCCATGTTCCCTTAATGGAAGAAAAACGGTGCAGTATCAGACTCGCAATCCTTGATTTTCAAGCATCTGGTAGGTCAAAAATTCCAATTAACGGTCGAAGACCGCGTGATTGCAGAAAGTGATGACCACGTGGAAATTTTGGAACTACCCTTTCGAGTAGGCAAGTAGACCCCATACGGTTCTAAGTACTTCCAATCCGTCCACACAGTTTAAGCCCGTTCTCGAGAGCGTAGTGAGAACTAGTTTGGTGTGATAATAGGGTCAGATACTGAAAGTGTAAGCATGGACGACCTCCCACCGTCCAATGAATACAGTGGGTTCAGAATCAGAAGGCGTTTCAGACGGCGTTCTGAAACAGCTCACTATAGCTTATTCCTTAAATTTTGGCCTGAATGCTTTGTACGTTGAGAGACGGGACGGGACACGAGCAGTGTGACTGCGCCATTAGCATTAGGCGCACGATGGGCACATTTTAACTTAGTATGAGTAGGGGATAATTTATGAGGATCAATAGGACTTCCCACGGCAGCCGCATGGTGAATTTTAAATTTCTGTTGATAAATAATACTTTTTTCATTTTATTTACATCAGGGCAATTTATAAATGTTATTCATAGTGCTAGGATGTAATATCAAATGAAAAGTGATCGTGAAACATTGACAAATAATGATTCAATCTTGTTGAGCCAGTTGATTTCTACGGGACCTCAGAAATAAACAAATATTATAACTCCGAGTTATAATTTCTATACGGCGACCCTGCGGCGTGTGAAAAACTGGATACGCCGTACGGAGTCCCCAAGGCAAGCGTAGTTTTCCTACGCACAGGCACTGTAGCCCCTTTAAACATTATCCTCCGTCAATAGAAGATACACTCACCTCCATAAGTTGAATTTTTATTTACTTAACCGGCGATGAAATAACTATAATATTGATGGAAACGTAACTTGACTTTATTTCCAATACCTTCAAATTTTATCAATTTTTTCCAATTTTTTTCCTAAATTACAATAGGTCGAAAATTGATGATAAATTTGATGACTTTTTGAAAATCGTCATTCCCATGTCATCCAATGGGAAATGGTAGATTTACCGCACGTCATATGACAGAATATCCATCCATCCAAGTCCTTGCAAAATATGAGTAAGGCAGGCAATTGAATTTGCTAACTTTATTTAACAAAGAATTGATATGTTTCTTCAGGTTCAACAAAGTTACAGGGCTTTAAAGTCAAAATTGGTTTTCAAGAAAACTCTCCCATTGAAATAACACAGGAGTCGAAAAATTATTTTCAAAAATGACTTTGAAGCGCTATAAATTTAGTATTCATCATCAAATAAATTAAAACTTAGTGAACAAAAAAGTCAGACAATTCAATTTTTTATACCAAAAAATTTTGCTGAATCTTTTACTGAAAAGATTCTGATTTGCCCCGAACTCTCTATTTCCCCTTGGATTATACGGGAATGACGATTTTAAAAAATTCATCAAATTTATCCGTTCAATTTTCGATCTCTTGTTATGGAGGAAAAAAATCTAGAAAATTAGGAGGTATTGGAAATAAAGTAAAGTTACGTTTCCATCAATATTATACGCTATTTCATCGTAAATAAAAATTCAAACGTAAAGAGGCTTTAACACGTAGTTCAATGGGGGAGCTAAGGTTGCCAAACTTATGGAGGGGAGTGTATAAATACAACTACCGGCTTTTCACGCAAATGAGCCTACTGGGCGTTTATTTAGTAAAGTTGACGTCGTGTACATCTTTTGAAACCAAAAATTATTCTTCATTTAGGTACTCTGTTCGAGAAATAGAGATTAAATTCAGGGGCGGATCTGGGAACCAACAAGGGGGGGGGGCCCAAACTTTTTGTCTGAGAAAAAAATGTCCGCGCTTGCGCGGAAAAAATTTTTGGGCCCCTTAAACCCAAAAGTGGGCCCAAATTTTGAAATTTTGAGGCCCATTTTCTTCAAAATTTGGCCTAAAATTAAAAAATAAGGCCTTAGAAGGCCAATTTATGACCAAAAAGGCCTACTTTTTGGGGCCTTCAGGCCTTTTATGGCTCAAAATTTTTTTTGGGCACAATTTTTTTTTTCTGGGCCCACCCAAGGGGGGGGGCCCGGGCCCCTGGGCCCCCCCCCCAGATCCGCCAGTGAAATTCAAAAAGATGAAGTGAGTACATGGCGAAAATGAAACTTCTTGCGAATTGGAGAACATCCAATTTGATACGAGGACAGCCTGTCTTCGTTTCCAGTTAATCCCAAGTGATTACGTTTAGAATGTTTTGTTCTTTTACATTTTACGATTTGATAAGAGACAGAGACTAAGAAATTAAATGCGACGAAACATTTTGACAACGTAATATGTGTACTGTTTATTCTTAAAGTTTTATGCGTTAACTTATTTTATCGGTTTCAAAATGTTTCATTTTATTTTGCCTACATAAAATATATTGAATAAGATAAGATCAACTGTTCCGTAATATATATTGTGTTTTGATGACCTTTTTTAGAATCACAATGTAAAATAAATCCCCCGTTCCAGTGGCGTAGGAACAATGTACGCCAAAACGCCAGTGCGTAGTGTTGAAAAGTGAGAATAAAAATGACTTTTTAACAGATTGAATTCCCTTACCAACATGCTTTATTTCATGAAAATCGAGCCACTACTGACTGTCTTATAAATACAACTTCGCCAAATATTCGTGAATCGCGTTCTCTTCACGAATTTGAGAGGAAAACTGTTTTTTCAAAAACTACTTGATGAATACCTTTGACATTTTTTTCTGCATTTTCCGTAATGCTTATGCTCACTATGGTATCATATAAATATAATGATGAACCTCTTTAAAAGATGTATATTTTTTTTATTCTCCCCTACCCCAATTTTTCAATTTCACTCGATTTATATTCCGTTGCTATGCAAAATCATAGACACGAAATTATAGTTAAGTCAACAATTATCTATTTTCTTACTAAATCACTAATTGTTATTGGTAGTACTTTTTGAAATATGGATGTTAAAGACAAAAACAACTTGAAAATGCTGTATATTCAATTACACGTTCCATTGATTTCAGTTCTAGAAAAGCGATAACCTAGTTTTTTTCATTTGAAAAATAATGGATTCTTGTTTTATAACATTTTTTGGCATCCCCTAAGTCACGTTGACCTCGATTTGACCTTTGTGGTGGGTGTGTTTATTTGTTTCATTGATCACGAATGCGTTTCTTTATATCAATTGATCAAACTAGTTTCTTTAATCTGTACGTATTGTATTGCACGGTACACGATGGAATCCGACAATACTATATATCTTAATTCAATTATTCGAAAATGATTAAAAAATCTCTAATTGTTTTTTGGAAATTGGTCGTCTCAATCGTTCGAGACATTAGCAAAGTGAGATTGATTTGTGTCGAGATTTAAAAGATAGGCTTTCCAAGGTGATTTTAAATGATGAAAATCATTCGAACATTTTAAAGCACATTAAAAAGGTATCGGGGATTTAAAGCTTGCATATGAAATCGAAACGCCAACCTATACGTATGACCAATCGCCCATACAAATGCATCGCTTAAGTATTTCCGTTCACATTAAGGTTGTGAATATAGCAAGCTTAAAATCTCTGTTACCATAAAATGACGTTTTACGAGCATAATATAGGCGTTTTGATATAGAATATTGACACAATTGTTTCATTTTTTGCGGGATTTTTGGCGTAGTGTTGAATTTATACCTTCCTACGCCCCTGCGTTCCTGTCATTCTGGTAACGCCGTGTAATGGATGCAATTCAAAGTGAGAGAGAGATCTATACATCAGAATGCATCCATGCCATTAATTTTGCCAAATACATGACATGAAACTGGCTTGAGGTGCGTCCCCCTTTATCTGGTAAAGTATGACTAAATTTTTCGGAGAACTGGGTTTCGGACAACTGGGTTTCGGACAACTGGGTTTCGGACAACTGGGGTGCACCCGAATTTTATTTTTCTGAAGATCTCTGTATCTATTGCATTCTCTTACTCAGTCATTTCTGATCATTAGCTTTGAGTCTCAGACTCTGGTATCACATCTAATGAAGCATGAAAGCATCCTCTATGACATCACACAATTTACATGATCATTTTATTTAACATATTCAAGTTAACATTTTAACGTGTTTGGTAATTCATGAGAGTTTATTATGTATGTAAACATGGTTAATTAAGCTCATTCTCTCAATGACTTTTATTTGCCATTTCTTATTTAATATTTCTGTTAAACTAAATATTTTTTGCTTAATTAATAAGACATTCTATGCTGCACATTCTGTGTAAATTTCATTAGAATATATTTAAAAATAAAGAAATTAGAAAGATATTATGAGAACTTTATGATCAACCCTCGTATCTACTAGAGCTCTATATCTTAGAGAGATTTCGCACATACGTGAAAGTACAACTTATAACCACGGACCTTAAAGTCCGTGTTATAACGTATAGACTACTTATACTTATAAGTTAACGTACAAGATGTTTCATAATGTGGGCTTTTCCACAGTCAAAGAGAATGTTCGAGACCCTATCAGGCCTGTCACTCCAACTTGCGAACACCTACTCCTGGTTAAGTTAGGAACTGTTAAAAACATGAAAAATAAGAACATAACTTCGACTGATGAATGGGAGCCTCACGTGCCTTCCAAATGGTAGTAAACGAACTCTAGTGTAACTACATCAGCTTATCTTTCCGTCCGATCAACAATAAGTACAGTTATACAAGAAATATAAACAAAGTGAAAATGGCAAAACTGCCCTAATTCACGTCACCATACTAGTCAATGGACAAAAGGGCAAACGCCTGACTTTTTATCTCGAGTTATGGATTTATGTGGCCTTGGCCTATCTGAGGTTCTAAAGCTTCATGTATGTCTAAGCTACATCTTGACACTAAACTCAATAGGGGCCATAACCATCTACTTTTTGAAATAATTGGTCAATTGTGACACTACCCCGTCTCTCTGCAGGCACAAATTGAAATTCACAAAAATGAAGGCAAAATTAATACGCCACTTGACTCGAAATTTTCCTTCAGATAACCCAAATAAACGCATTTTCAGAAGAAATGGCATGTTGTCATTGCAAAAAGATCACAACTGTGCCTACATACTAGCTTACTGACTTGTCATGATCACACTTGTGTTGGGACTGCGACCTGGTTGAAAGGTAAAGATTAAAAGGTGGATTGGATCGAGTGGATTGGATTCATGTAAAAGGTGGATTGGATCGGGATTCTTCAAAATATGGATTTTCCTTAAAAAATTTACATTGATCTCCCATCAGACGATTAATGCTCTCCTCACTTCCACAATGTCAAATAATAGAAATTATATTATTTTGCTTGGGTAGGCTGGAAAGGTGATCTGATACACAATCTTATTCATTCCAAGGGTAATTTTAGACATTTCAAAAATCATAAGGCAGACTTTTGAAGTCGAAGATCCATATCATCTGTTTTCAATTCAAACAGAACATGGCAGAAATGTCTTGGGAACACCCACACGTCAATTTGAATGACAGCTCTTATCTACAGATCTTTGTTTATTATGTCTTTCTAATGTTGATTTACAAGGGAGAGCAGTCGAATACTTTAGAGTATCTATCAACTAATTGAAGATGTATTTGTCATTGCTTTGTCGATTCCTTAAAGGGACCCATGTAATCACAAAATACTTTAGGCCGGAGGAAATTGCTTAGAGGGAGATCAACTAAAAAATCCATATTTTGAAGATTCCCGATCCAATCCACCTTTTACATGAATCCAATCCACTCGATCCAATCCACCTTTTAATCTCTACCGGTTGAAAGCCCAAAAATTCGTGCATGCGCGATCGAGGTAGGGTAGTGTGAAATAGGGATATTACGACCTGCCAAGTTCATGTACAACTAACTTACCGTAAGTTAGTCGACAAGTGAAATAGTTCCAATAAGCGATGTTTCAAAAATATATGATTTTCTATCGTATTACGTTTTGGCGAATATAAACTAAAGAGGTTACTTCGCTAGAGCTTTTGAATTCTTCTATTAATTGGTAAAATACTTGTTTTCTCTTCAAAGTACAGTCAATCGTATATTACATATGAATTGTAAATATATACAATCAAAATCAAAACGTTAAGGTCAGGGTGCATGATGGGAAATTTTCTGCATTCCTCAATTGAGTCACATGTTATTTTTCAAACAAGAATCACTCCTTCCCTTCATTGTCTATATCTTCCAGTTTTGCACAAAGAGTGCACTTATGTGCCTAGAAAGGACCTGTGAGAAGAATGTTTTGATAAAGTGTATAAAAAACAAGAAAATTCAGTGAAAAAAATCAGAAAATTTTCAGAAATTTTTTTCACGGAATTTTCTCATTTTTACACATTTTACAAAACAAACCTTCTCACAAGGCTTTTCGAGGCACAGAAGTGCACTCTTTGTGCAAACTTGGAAGATGTAGACAATGTGGGGAAGGAGTTATTCATGTTTGAAAAATAACATGTGACTCAATTGAGGAATGCAGAAAATTTCCCAATATGCACCCTGTCCTTAACGAACATTTATTCCAAGAACCCAATTTTTCTTCAACTTATGATATTACAAGCAACACTATGATGTTACAATTGCCGAACAGCACCCATCTGGACATCCTTTTCTTCATTTGATACATATTTTACCATTTTGATTGTGAAAATTCTCCCGGCGCAACGTCTGCCGGTGATCGGTTGGCAGTTGAAAAATACCGTAATCGGTAGGCACCCATAAGGTGAATCTGAACTTATGCATTTTATGTGAGCGAAGCATAAACGATAAATCATGTTATCCTACACTTAGTGTACTAAATGTATAATAACATGAAAAAATAAATTTGATATTTATTGGCAAAATGAATATCCGGGGGATATCGTAACGATATACTCCGGAAAACCCAATATGCGGAGGATATTGTGACGATATACTCCGCTTGTTGATTTCACGCCAAATTGACTCTATTTGGCATGAAATTCATTTTACGATGATATTATACATTCAGTACACTCCTTGTAAGTGTAGGATAATAAGAACATCCTATGATTTTTTCAGAATATCATTTTAATCTACTCGGTGATATTGATATATGCACTCGTTCGCTTCGCTCTCTCGTGCAAATATCAATATCACCTCGTAGATAAAAATGATATTCCTCAAAATCATAGGATATCCTATAAATACGCAGGTAAACCGAGAATGCGAGATAAAGGTACTTTTTAATAAATCCGTAACCCAATATTTTGTAGCTCCCAGTGTGAATAACGTAATGCGTTAATTTCAGTCAAAATCAAATAATTCGATGGAACAGCATTTCCCTCTATCCCGGGCCCTCTATAAACTTATCATCGGTTCAAAACCATAACATAATGAGTCAAACCTCAGGAATTCCCGGGGATCTCAGCCCCCCTATACTTTAACATGGAAAAATGGATGAATGTGGAAAAAAAATATTTCTGATCAGTTCTACAAATATGTGTTCACATTATGTAAGACTTTAGATAATTAAGGACCTAGAAACAAAATATTTTGTTTCTATAATTATATAATGGGCATTATATTTAACCACAAAGAAGGGTTAAACATGAAAAACGAGTTCATCGATTCGCCAAAAAGGTTGTAGAAAAATCCATTTTGATGATTCAGAAATAATATTTTAGAATATGAAAATTCACCTCATCTCCTAAATTGTGTTACAATTTTATATTGATCATCGAAATAATAAAAAACTTATACCCATCTAAAAAGCTCTCCCTATCGAGCCTCTTCCTTTCTGAAATTTCGTCAGTTCTCTAATATCAATCACTCTGAAGCTAAAATTTGCTGACTGGCTGGTGTATTTTTCTTTCAGACACAAGAAAATGGCATATATTGTCTATTTAAGGGTAAATAAAAAGAAATACAAGGGGCGATCAATATATTCTGATAAAAATGCTCTAATTTTGTGATTTTTTCACATATCCCTTTCATTTTTTCAGAACATGTTCATGTAGATTATGTAATAACACATACAATGCTAAAATATTATAGCTATACCTGATAAGGTTGCCATGGTAACCTGTATTTAGGTAAGGCAGGTCAGTTAAATTATAACATATAGAATAGATAAAGGAGCAGGGAAAGTATCGCAACAGACTTTTGATAATTTTGACAGTTGATAATTTTTTTGTGAGTAGTTTCTGGCTGTAAAAAGTAAATGCTTGGGAAAGGCGAATCTATAATCTTCAAGAAAAGTTCAAAAAATAGTTTCCAGATCAATTGGATTATCTTATAATCCATGTTTAATCCACCCATCAACAAGGATTTTCAAAATACATTCGTCATTTTCACCATCGTCCCTCATTTTTTTAACAATTTTTCATGCAAAGTTACATTGTACTTGAACACATGTTTCATCAAGTAAAATATGTAAGGAACTCCATGAAGTTTGTTTTTGAGTTTTTTTTTGAAAAAATGAACCTCTTAAAATGCATGTTTACAAAAATAATTTAGGAGTGATGTAAAAGATGGCAATGTTTTTCAATAATAACATGCATAGGTGGGTGAATTACTCATGTGTGTTGTGTTTTAATCCTGCATTCACTGACTGAGTTAGCCTATTGAAAAATCATAGAGATTAATAATACAAACAGTAATACTATGAATACTTCTACTTCAAGCTCAAATAGCGCTTTCAGGGTCCTGTGTTGAAATACTAGATCACCTTATGTGCATGAATTTTCAAGAGAAACCATCAGTGCAAGCAATTAAATGAAAGCATCATCCGAACATCACTTGAAAAGTACTAAAGTAGTGAAAAATTGCAGGATGTTGACAGAAAATGTGCCTAGGGGAGAGGGTCGTCTCTCAACCCCCCTCCTCCCCCTCCCTGGTCACGGGACTAATACATGTGATATGGCAAAGTCCAATTCATAGATTAAGTTTCCCTTGCAGTCTTGTTGGCATTTTTATTAGAGTTCATGTTTTGTTTATGTTAATGGGTGAGTGGAAGACCCTTGGGTGGGAATCAAATATAAAATGTTTTCTAAAATATATATTTGAAATACTTTGTGTATGTACAGTCACAAACTCTAGGCAACATTAACTAGTAATGGGGCAACACCCCAACTCAATTGAGTGAATGTGTAAACCATATAAGGAACAAAAAACATTACATAAAACAAACTCAGCATGCAAACATGTAAAACTGGCATGGCAAAACAATAGATTGTGAAACTGAATAATAAAAGCACATACGACTAGAAAACAAGGGATTAAGGACCTGTTAAAATGACATGAATGGGGATTGGTCAATATGAATAGTAGAAATATGAAAAATGTGAAAATTTTACATTTAGTATTGATCATGAACATTAGAGAGGTTAAGTACATAGGCTCGCAGGCAGGTAGAGGGGGAGAGATAAAGGGAGCTGCTGCTCCCCCAAGAGATTCTTTCAAAATGATGCAGTTTCTCACCAATCTGAGCACTTCGCATGATTTTTTAGCCAAAACTGTCAAAAAGTTCATCCCTAGGCAAAAGCTTTGCCCTTGGTAAAACTGCTCCTACCCCTTGGTAAAAGCTGGCTACAGACTGTGTAAAACACTTGTGTGAGAACTTGAACATGAACGAGTACTGTTATGACCCCCAGTAATGTTGTCCATCTCTCAACTGGTTTAACTAGGGACCATTACATCAATTGGCATTATATCAATCAGGCAAAAAGAGGCCAGTGATGTGAAAATAGTCAATAGCACGGTGTTATAGCATGACGGTTACGCCACCTCTGAAAACGAGGTTGGACAGCTACGTTCACTGATTTATCCAATAAAAGGGCCGCGATGGAAGAGAAAACTAAGGTTGGCGCATTATTTTCTACTTCTGTGTATCAATGAAAAGATGAACGATTTATGTAAGAATCGCATTCGGTGATACTTTCAGTAATGTATATTTTGAACGTAGCCTTTGCAAATTGATGCCTGGGGATAACATGAAATAAGAGAAAAACTGTCGAGTTTGAAATTCAAAACTACACAAAAATTTAGTAAATTGTTTATTTTTGTTTTTGTTGTTAGGGCATGGTCTACATTGCCTAAAAACCGTGTGATATATAGATGTAACCTACTTACGATCATACAAAGCCAATTGAGCATTGGAAACCACCTAATGTGTTCTACTCAAGCCATAATAATGTATTTTGAATTTGCAGTAGTTATACACAGTTTACTTATACTTACAGTTAATATTTTGAGTGGCTCATGTACTGAGACAACATGAGAATGGATCAAAACTTATAAACTTTGATATCTCAGTCGGTAGGTTTACAGATTATATTCTGTTTCTTGTAGACCACCTTTTGGACCCAGTCTTTATAACCATCCATATATACGTCACCGAATGGAACTAGTTTAAAAGGAAATCTTATCTGTTAATATTGCCTACAGGCGAGAAATAGGACATGCTGCCTTTCCCATCCGCCATTTTTTGTTATCGTTACCGCAAAATTTTGCAAATCGCCTTGACGTAACCGTCATGCTATAACACCGTGAATAGGGGACCATAAGTTTACACATTCCATGTGTACGTTCATCAAAATAGTGCGATCTTAACCTCCCTAATAACTGAAATTGTTGACTCAACCAATAGAATCATTCTATGTTTGTTTATATTTGTTCACATTAATATGGAAGAAAATCGGACATTTTGCTAAAAAGATGTTATTGTAAATCTTAGAAATAATGATAAAGGTAGTATACACCACACACTCAATGGTATTGATTGTGGTTTTCAGAGACTCTCAATAGGGACTTTAAGCTTGCAATGTTTTTCACAACCTAAATGTGAATGGAAAATATTTAGCGATGCATTTGTATGGGCGATTGGTCATAGGTTGGCGTTTCGATTTTATATGCAAGCTTAATCTCCCTAATGTTAACATTAAGGTAAGAGTGTATGTTACTCATAACATTTTCTTAGGATAACATTTCTTGAATTGATGAATATGCAAAAATTATTCTTAGCATATCATCCTTCATTTCATTATTTGAATAATCAATCTGGAGATATACTCAAATAAGGAAGTGTGTTATAACACATCATCATATAGAAACATGTTCAATGTTTTTTCAGAAGCTGGATCAAAATATTTGTCTTACTAAAATTATTGGCAAAGGTATGATGTACTAAATTCTTGTACTGTATTTATGATTTTAATAGCACTATATACCTTGTGAATCATTACTGATAAACAAGATACAGAAAACCTGTTCAAAGTAAATGCTATAATAAGGCATCATAGAAATTATCATAAAGAGAGGTATTTAGAATTTCTTAGCAACTAACACACACACACAGGTTTAACTGCACTCAAACATTAAACAGTCAACTTGACAGGTATTCAGAACTTTTTGGGAAATGCTGAGGTTATGCTCCATTGATTAAACAGGGGATCAAACAGCAGGGGATCAAACAAGTCCAACCATTCATTTATGAAAACATTTTGAACTAACTTTATGGCACACTAATGACATCTTATATGAGTGTGCTGTACTAAAAGCATAGCCCCATTGGATCCCCTTATATTGGATTATCATAATCCTAATCCACAAGGAGTTCCTTATATATTTTAAGTGATGAAACATGTGTTCAAGTACAATGTAACTTTGCATGAAAATTGTAAAAAAAAATGAGGGACGATGGTCAAAATGACGATTGTATTTTCAAAAAAAAGCTTGTTGATGGGTGGATTAAACATGGCTTATGAGATAATCCAATTGATCTTGAAACCATTCTTTGAATTTTTCTTAAAGATTATACATTGGCCTTTCATTTGCATTCATTTTTGTACAGCCAGAAACTAATACAAAAAAATTATTTACTGTCAAAAATCTGTTGCGATACTTTCCCTCGCTCTTTGTTAATTTAATCATTCCTAAGTACCTATTTTAAGCAGATCAAAGGCATATTCGGGTCATTGCCAACTATTTGTTGAAATGTTCAATACCCCTGGTGCCCTTGTTTGCATATTTCCACAGTCGGATAGTTCTCTCTTCATTAATTGCATCTCAAATTATTGTAGAGTTATTCTCCGTCCGCAAGCTCCTCTTGCAACCAGATTGTGGATGATCCTCAACAGTGACCACGACTTCCTCAAAACAATACTACTTATAGATTCTCAGAGCAGATATAAAACCTTGCCAATACACTCTACAAACCCATGTATGTCTCTGACAGTGTCCTATTCTTGATAGTACATAAAATCTAATGGTACTCCTAATGTATCTATTAATGTCATACTCTGCATCAGCCACACTAACTTCATCTGATATTTTATTCTTGATTTTTTGTGTGTCTTATGACATGTAATGTCAATAAGCCCATTATGTCATACATTGCTATTGTGAGTTGTTGTGATGTTATATTGAGCACAAATAAACATTTGTTTAGCAATAAACAACAACTAGCAAAAATACCAAACTTGTTTAGAAAAAAAAAATGATTTCCACATGCTTTAAAATAATCAAAATAACAAGTTATTATGATATTTTATACGTTATAATTGAATTGCCCTGCCTACCCATAATACAGGTTACCATGGCAACCATATCTCTTAATTAATTTGGGATATAGCTATAATATTTTAGCATTGTAAAAAATGACATATATCGTCTATTAAAGGGTTAATAAAAAGAAATATAACACGATTAGTGTATTTCCTGAGAAAAATCAAAATATTTCCGTGCTTAACCCCACATTACAGAAAAACTAGATTGATGGCTGTCATTTTATAAGAACTGTATGCTCTTCAATACACTCAGAATTTGATGAGCCTGTTGCTAAGTAATGAAACACTGTAAAACTATCACAGATCACAGATTAAAAGCACACTCTCTCTTGATCAAAAATGGAGGTCTGCATCAAGTATTTCCGGTTGTACCAGACAAAAATACTGGACACGTTTCTGTCCCCTGTTTATGTTCTGGATGAATGTTTATTGGTTGGATTTAAAAGTATTTTTATTCCTACAGTGTATATAACTTTCTAAATGTCAATGTTCATACATAGATAAAGTCCAGGGTTGAATTATGTACATGTACATTGTATAGTACTTTTAATGCATGGCCATTCTCATTTGAATCTAAAAATGGCATATTATATAAACATTTTTACACTATATACATCCCAATCTTCTTTCAAGTGTCAAATGACTCTATACATGTATATACGTACTCCTCTGTTACATACAAATGGAATTATCTTATTCCATTAAAATGTTCAGTTCATTCTATAATGTTAATTTCATCGCATGATGACTATGAACATTTCCATACTACGATTGCCATTGTTCCTTGAAAGAACATATAGAGCAAGTTCTTCACTTCATGTGTGATTTCAAACCCCATTCCCTCTCCTACGACCACATGCCAAGATGCTCCAAATTTTTTATCCATTGTTTCTTTCACCATTTTTGCAGCACTCTGAAAATAAGATGCAACAAATTATAGGTTTTCAAACAATATAGATATAGTGTCTGGAATAACAGAAATTATTAGACTGTGTCTGGAATAAAAATTCTTCAGGGATAACCAATGCTAGTGGACACTACTCAAAAACTACAGTAGTCAGGTAGTAGATGTGTTTTCTTTATATTTGGTGGAAAGATGTATATTGACGAATGGTTTACGTCATTTTGAAAATTGACATTTTCCATAAACACGATATGTTATTTTTCAAGTAAAATCTCAAGGAGAGTAAAAATTATGAATAGAGATTGTTTGTCAGTATTTCTTAGAACATCAAAATAACATGCAACCATCTTGAAAATGTCTCCTTGAGCACTAATTTTGCTTCAAAAATGACAACATACAGCTAGAGTGTACACCCATATATTTTTATCACTGTACATTGTCGATGCTTAGGTGGTCAGAAAGTCTTTTGTGATTAAATATACCTAAATTTGAATGAAAAAATCAATTTGGAAAAACATCTTCTTGAAATTTTGAAGGTCAACAAGAGGTCAAATCTCAAATTTAATATGAAGCAGGTTAAAATTTAGTCTTCAAAAATTTCTAAAAGATTGGTATCGATATGGTGAACATTTTGAACACACGTTTCTCTTTAGTCATCAAAATATTCTAAAAAATTTACACATCGTCAATTTAATGGTCATCTCTTGAATACCAACAATATAATTTGAAAAATATTATACTTTTCTCTATATTGTTTTAGAAAACACATCAAATACTTCTTTTGTTCTTGGTATCATATGTTCGGAATGAAATGAAACATCTCTCCGAACCTCATTGGAGCAAAATGACATAAACACATGTTTAGGTCCCTCAATATTGTAATTCACACAAAGGAAATTTTGGTTGATTTAAAAAAAGTATCTTGTTAATGAAATAAAAGGTTTTTCTTAATTTTTATCTATTTTGGTGGGTTTTGTTTTATTTTTTTGAATACTTTTTGTTAAATCAACCAAAATTTCCTTTCTATTACTATAATATTGAGAGGTCTAAGTAAATGTTGTATATTTGTTCCAACAAGGCATCCTTCAAGATCGGTCCTTCACTGCTTTCATAGCAGATCAGATGAAATGCAATGAATTACTCTTGGGCCAAGGTTGCAACAAGGTTCGGAAAGACATTTTATTTCATTCTCAAGAATTGGTAAAAAGGAACAAAAAACAATTGCACTAAAAACAAAAAAATGTTAACAAAAACAGTTATATAAAGTACAGTATATATAAATAATGTTCGCATTAAATTGTTGTCAATCAGTCAACATTACATAAAGGACTCTGTGTTTTATTACAGCATGTTTTCAATAATTGGTTTAAGAGAAAAACATTGTTGAATTCAGTTCACCATATCGATACCTATTCTTTGACCTTTTTAGCTCACATGGTGAGCTATTGCAATCACTCACTTGTCTGTCAGTCCGTCGCCTATTTTCAAAATGGCCGCAATTTTTATCTCGCGAAATTCATTTTGGACCATTTGCTTTAAAACCTGTATCGATAGGATTCCCGTTTTAATTCATATCTGTTCAACATCAATACAGAATACTCCACTATGAGTCCTGGTTCAAAAGCTCACCTTTTTTCAAAATGGCCACCAATTTTGTCATTTTGAAGAATTTCTCGAGAATTAAAAAGACCTGGTTTCAGTATAACTCTGAAGGTTTTTGAACTGAACTCATAAATCAGTGACTTCTAAGTATCGCTTTATTGTTGCATCATATCTGGTCACGTGACCTCATGTACATAATAATCATAACAACAAAAGTACAAGGTACAGGCCTGTCAACTTGGGAACACCTAACATGAGTGACTTGGAAATGTAGAACACCTCCCCTCAAAATGTGGACACCTTGGTCCAAATGTGAACACCTTGATCCAAATTTTGAACACCTTGGTTTAAATTTTATTACATCTTGGCAAATTTTAAACACCTCAAATTTTTCGCGCTCGCTACGCTCGCTTTTTAAAACATCCATCAAAGGGGGGGGGGGGGGGGGGGGGGGGGTAGGTACGAAAAGTTTCAAACGGAATGCGTGACATATACGTAATTCGCGTAAGTCCGAACAAAATGCGTACGTTTTTTTCCGGCGTTCGTATTTTTGCTGTGTAGACGATCTTTTTTAGAAATTTTTCTACAGAAATATTTTTGCTTGACAATTACCATGTAAAATGCGTATTTGCGTGACATTTTCTGTCACGCAAAAATAACTGCCGTGACTTCAAATTCTTCAGCAAATGCGTGACAAATACGCAAATTGCGGGACAGTTGACAGGCCTGTATCCACAGAGGTTTTAAGGCAAATTGTCCAAAAGTGGATTTCGCGAGACAGATTGACATATCAATGTTAGCTAAAATGGCTGAAAAAAGGATAGAATTTTTTGTCGATTTTTTGTACCAAAGTTATTTGTATTGATGTTGAACAAAAATAACTTCAAACGAGAGCCCTATCGTACAGAAGTTTTCAGGCAAATTTCGCAAGACAGATGGCCAAATCAATGTTAACTAAAATGGCTGAAAATAAAATAACGGATGGTTATAATGAAAACATGCGCTACGCGCTAACGCGCTAGCGCACTAAGGCGCTGTTCAGAATGATCATTCCCACAGGCCCAAGAACATGTATAAAATCGCGTAAGTAAAAGTTAAGGTGGCGTATCAGAAGACAGAAGTTATTAAGAAGGCCAATGTTTGATCGTTAACTGTGCAAAGTTAATAAGTGGTTATTTAGATAAAATTCAGCTCTGTGTCTGTTTTCTGTATTGATGTTGAACAAAAATATTTTAAAACGGATATCCTATCGACAGAGGTTTTAAAATGTGCCACTATTGTTGACGGATGGACAGACAGACATACAAGTGAGCTAAAAACATGGCAACTATCTTGCAAAATGGTGGTATACGCTAGCGCTAAGTATCTCTAGAACTCTATTTCGTTTTTGATAGCAATAGGTTGTGTGTAATATTTAAGTTATTTCAACCATCAAATTCCTCCATTTAGTAGTACATCTGGTCCCGGCATGCACCAGTTATAAGGGGAATCCCCCTCCGACAAGCTTCCGCCATCTTGGAAAGTGCTTAATATTTCCGATTCAAAAAAACAAAAATCTGTTCATTCTGCTGGTAAACCCATATAATTGGGTTCAACAACATAAAAAGGATTCTTAAATACTAGTTCTCATAAATATATCGAGGTAGGTCATTTAAGTATGCACCTAGAGTAGGCTTGTTTTGACAAGCGGAACTAATTAAACCCTGATTACATGAAAGGTTTTCTTTGTAAAAACATTGACTGACCAATGATTCATGCTTACGGCCACAAACATAGTGAGGGTAGTAGGATGCGACAATAATATACTAATGCCCACTAATGCTATATAACAGTTAGAGGTGTTGACACAACGACCTCCAGCCTGTGAACCCTGGAGTATTATTCCGGATCGGGTCTTTTAAACTAAAAGGTGAGCAACACTAGAAACGAGCTTTCGATTTGCTAAACGATATGCGTCACCATTTTAAGAAAACATTGTTATAACTAGACTTTGGAAATTGAACGAAGTTCAATTTCAGACTCCAGATCTAGACTTTTTTTAGCCGAGTTATCCAGAATAAGCCGAGTCATCCAAAATAAGCTGAGTCATCCAGAAAAAGATGGATGGATGGATGAAAAAGGAAGGAAGGATAGGCTAGAATAGGAAGGAACAATAGGATAGAATAGGAAAGAATAATAGAATAGAATAGGAAGAAGGAATAGAATAGGAAGGATAGGAAGGATAGGAAGGAGAGGATACGAAGGAAAGGTAGTCGGATCGAAATTTGGTTTGCAGCCTCGGATTCCTGAGAAAATTCTACCCTTAATTCATAACTCATATGTTAAATTTGGAGAATTTTTTATTTTGACCTTCTTTTCGGACACCATATCTCAAAAGTTGGTCGAAATACTTTCTGACGGCAAAATGCGTACACTATTAGCACACTCTTTCCTACCTGTATACAAAATTTTGAAGCAAATCATTTAAATATAGTGTCAGAATCGCAAAAATAAGGAAAAACTATGAATTTGACCTAGATTGTGACCTAGGGATTTTGGTGTCCAAATTTTGAAGTTAGGTAGCCTTTGAGGTCCCCTTCTTTCATAGGCTTTCATTATTTTAAGCTGTACTTAGTCTATATCTCGAATTTTACACTTCAAAAAAATCGTTTTTCCCATTGACATAACATGGGTCACCAAATTTAGCGATTTTTGAGCTTTCAAAACGTCATAACTTACGGACCGGGAGTTGGATTGAAATTTGGTTTGCAGATTCGGATTCCTGAGAAAATTTTAGTCTTAATTCATAACTTATATGTTAAATTTGGAGCAATTTTTATTTTGACCTACTTTTCGGACACCATATCTCAAAAGTGGGTCAAAATACTTTCTGACGGCAAAAGGCTAACCCTATTAGCACAGTCTTGGCTACATGTATTCAAAATTTCAAAGAATATAATTAAAGTGTAGTGTCAGAATCGCAAAAATAAGGAAAAACTTTGAATTTGACCTAGATTTTGACCTAGGCATTTTGGTGTCCAAATTTTTATGAAAAGAAGGTTATGAGGTCCCTTTCTTTTATGGGCTTCCATTATGTTTAGCTGTGCTTAGTCTAAATCTCGTATTTTACACTTCAAAAAAATATTTTTTCCCATTGAATTAACATGGGGCACCAAATTTAGCGATTTTTGAATTTTCAAAACGCCATAACTTCTGAACCGGAAGTCAGATCGAAATTTGGTTTTCAGATTCGGAATCCTGAGAAAATTTCCTATAAGACTGATATCCTGAACATTGGATTCGGAGAACTTGTTTTTGGACCTCGTTTTCGGACACTGATATCTCGAAATCGGTTTGAGATACCAAAAAACTAAATGACCCTAACTCTTCTACTTTTTTATGAGGAACACGATGAAAAAAAACCGGAT